GGAGGGGGAGGAGAAGAAGAGGAAGAAGAAGAAGAAGAAGAAGAAGAAGAAGAAGACGAAGACGAAGAAAAGAGAAGAGAAGGAACTCTTGGCGAGCAGTGGGCGAGCTGCACCTCAAGCCTTGAGCGCTGGAGGAGGTCAGCAGTCTCTCCATCAGGAGTGAAAAGTACAGACAGTATCAGCCCGGGCGTCAGGGTCCTAGAGGCCCATACGACTCTCACTGCTGCATGATAATTCTTGGATGCTTTCAAAAATGGACAGGTCGAGTTGTGTTTAAATTCTTGGGCTCTGCTCTACGTGCAGACAGGCAGGGGCTGCAGGGAAAAGATGAGTCCTTGCGGGGCCGGCGGAGCTTGGTGCTGGGGCCCTGGCTGAGCATGCGTTGGGCGCTCCCTGGTTCATTCCAGCACAGCAAAAACAAAAGTGCTGACCAGTGGCCTGTCACTTGGGGGACAGAGGGAGGATCCACTGAGTTGATGCTGGCCAGGTCCTCAGAGCAGGGCCTGGTGGGCTCAACAAGTGTCAGCTGTCATTACTCCCTGGGGTGACCCGGGAAAAGGAGGTCCCCTGAATACCAGGACAGTGAAGGCTCTGATAAGTCCTGCAAGACAGGAAACTCTTTCAATCCCTCTAGCCCACATTCCTACCCCCAAAACTGCCTGGGTGTGCTCTCTATGACAGTGGTCACCATACTGAGACAATCACGTCAACTGCTCACCAAGTCTACCTGACCCTAAAAGTCCTGTCCAGAAACATCACCATTGTTGCCCAATGCAAGGTCCCCAAGTCTATCTTGGTCCCCTGCCCCCCCCCCCCCAGCCTCAAGCCTGGAGCTCACCCGGGGCTCCTTATTGAAGGCGGCAGATACAGGAACGAACACAGTGAAGGGTCCCGGCCCGGCCAGCTCTCGGACCTTGTGTTCCTGCAGAAGGGAGGGAGGGAGGAGGTGCACAGTCCCTCAAGCATGTGGAGGAGTCTCCGAAACGGTGACTGGGAGGGCCAGGGACAGGAGACCAAGCGTGGAGACCTGGGTCTCTGTCTGGAGTTCCAATCGGATCCAGGACCTTTGCCATCAAAATCATGCTTTTTTCTAGTTATAAAACCATCACAGAGCTGGGCGTCTGTCTGTAATCCCACCACCTCAAAGGCTGAGGCAGGAGGATTGCCACGAGGGTGGGGTCAGCCGGGGCTACACGGTGAGATCCTCGGGCCACAGCCACCAAAACCCAGCACCTGCTTGTGTTAAAGATTGTGAAAATGTAGCACGGGGTAGAAAATGACTAGGGCCCCCATCCTGTCACCAGCTGGAAGTGAGTCCTTGTGCTTTTGGGTTTTCTTTTTCAGCGTCTCTTTTTTATGCCAGTACTTTATGTAATCAAGAGAATTGTACATATGTACACACACATGTATATACATGCATATACACACAAACATGCATATACATGTAATACATGTATATACATGCATATACACATACACACATAAACATATGTACACATATACACATGCACACATAAAATCATATATACATATGTATATATACATGCATATACACATACAATACACACATATACACATATACACACATGCACACATACATACACACATATACATATATACACATGTACATACATATATAGTACACATGCACATATACACACATGTAATACATACACATGCCCATACACAATAATGCAATATATGCATGCTTCTACACATGTATACATCCATATACACATATATATACACACATATACACACAATCATATATACATACATGCAAATACATATTCATATATAATACACACCCATATGTGCACACATATACACACATATTGTACACATGCATGCATATACATATATGTACCCACAGACACATGCGTACACACATATATGATGCACACACAGCACTCTGTAAGCAAAGGAACTGTGCATTATACACACATGTACACATGCATACATGTATATGTGTGTACGCTCCCCAGCTACGACTGTCTTTTTGCAGCTCCAGGCCCCCATGGCTACTGCAGCTATATTTTCTTCTCGTGTTCACGATCGTGTTCTGTGGACTAACGCCTCATCCTCCAGCATGTCTGGAATCGATCCAGGCATACGCTTTCCAGCAAGGGCAGAACTCCCATTTCCGCCTGAAGTGCTAACTCCTTGTCCTGGCACATTTCTTTGCCCCCCTGAGAAGAAGGGGGTCTTTTCACCTGCAGTGGGGTGCCCCTCAACCAGGATACATTCTGAGCAACGGCTCTGGGTGATCGTGGTGCCGCAGGAGGCCAGAACCCCCCGCTGTGTGGAGCAGCTGGAGGCGCCCAGCTGTGACCTGCCCAGCTGTTGTTGCTCTGGCTGCTGCAGGCCGCAGTGACATGGCTCGAGTGGATGCGAGCCTGAGGTCTAAACAGAAGGGGTGCAGGGAAGCCGCTCTAGGAGGAGCAGGCCGCACTACAGGAGGAAGCTACGCTGAGGAGGAGGAAGCGCAGTGCCCCAGCAGACAGCACTGGCAGGGAGGAGCTCGAGGGCCAGGGAGCTGCTCCGGGACTCGGGAGTGGGCACGGCCTTGGCCGTGAAGTCCACTGTGCTGTCCACGTGGGTGGTGCTCAGTTTACTGTCTTGTCTTTCTTCAATGATAAGCCCAGTCTCCTGTGGCCTTTTTACTTTATACATTATATATTTTTTAAGCTTTTTGATTCTTCTCTACTAACAGCTGAAAACACAAACTGTACACGTTTTCCTTATACTCTATAAACATTTTTCTATTTAAAATATTTTTAAACATTTTTGTTAAACAGGAATACAGAAACATGGACAGTGGCCTAGGTTTGTTAACACTAGTGCCGCTCCGTACAAAGGTCACTATTGCATGGTGGGGCATCAACACACATGACATCACCACTGCAGGGCAGGCCACTGCCACAACACACTGTGATGTCGTCACGGTGCTACCATGACATGTACCCACCATATAATAGGGTGCCACGGACACATAAGAGCATTGCAATGATGTCATTGCAGTTATGACATCACCATGATTATGACATCACCATGATTATGACATCACCATGATTATGATGTCACCATCCTCTGCCATCATTGTGGCAATGATGTCAGAGGGTGATGGCAAACCGTCTGCTCCATAATCATGTGCACCCACACCATTGTACATGTGTGTGGTGCCGGCAGAAACAGTGGTATGTGGCACCTGACTGCATCGTTACTTTCAGTGAAACAGGGCCAGTGCTGCCCACACTGTTCACAAATGACCACCAACAGGCTTATCCCAGAAATCCAGGTTCCGGACTTTCCTTCCTCCTTCACCAGCTCTGGGTGCTGCTGCAGTGCAGATCTGAGACGCAAAGTTTGTAACTTTCTTTTTTGCCAGCCCACGCTGGGCACATACTAGGCAAGTGCCCTGCATGGAGCTGCCCATTAGCCCAAGGCCCAGGCTCAGGAGGAGAGAACCACGAGTTCCTACCTGCAGCTGGAAGAAATACTGGGACGTCCGCGGGTCTTTGGGGAGCTCCTGTGAACAGAGACAGGCAGCTTTGCTTAAGGCCTGGGGACTGCACGCACACGGAGAGCGGCGCTGTTGCAAAGGGCGACTTCTCTGAAGTTGCGGGGGTCTGCCATCAGAGACCCACAGCGTAGGTCTCGGGAGCACGGCCTTGCAGGAGAGCCGAGACGGCGGTGCGGACGCACCTCGACCACTACCCCTTTCTGGACTCTCCATCTGATTCATCCGAGAGTCAGCTACTTCCAAAAGCCTCTGAGCTCTAACGGGAGGGCATTTTAAAATTGTGCTCGGCTATGTTAGAAGTCTTTCAAATCTAGTTGACCTAGTCTAAGAAATTGGTAGTAGGCTTACAGAAGATTCAGCAAGAATATTCGATCAACCAGAACGCCCATTTAGAGTGACAGGTAGAAATCTAGCATCATACCCTCTCATGTTCTATGTCCTACCCGGGTGAACACGGCTGGGCACACTCCCAACACACGCGCGCGCACACACACACACAGAGCAATCCACACGACAGCAGTGCTCTGGAGCCGTGTGCTCTGGGTCTTTACACACACGCTGCTTCATCCTTTAATAACCTGCTAGGGTTGGCGCCATTATTAGCTTCTTTTATAGCTTTAAACACCAGGAGAGGTAACATAGTGTGCTCAGATTCCCTGCGGCACCACCCGGCGGAACTGAGCCCAAACCCAAGCGTTCCTGATCTGTGTTCTTTTCTTTTCAAGACAGGCTGGCCTCGAGCTCACTTTGCAGCCCTGGCTGACCTCAAACTTGAAGCAACCCTCCTGCCTCAGCCTCCCGAGGGCTGGGGCTGCAGGTGGATGCCACCGGGCCTCGCTTACCGTCAACCTTAATCATGCCACGCTCTTTCCAGGCCCAACTGATTCCCTCGGGTAGGCCACATTGCCTTTCATTGTCGAGTCATATAAACACAGCCTTCCCCATTTGGGGGCAGCTCTGTGTTCCACGAAGCCTCCTGGTCTGGCCTCGGATGTGTACCTCGTAGATGGAGCCCCGGCAGGTGAGCCCGTCTCCCGTGTAGTTCTGCTTGCAGGTGCAGGTCCTCTCGCCTGTCTCCGTGTGCTTGCAGATGGCGTTGGGGCTGCAGCCGCCGTTTTTCTGGTGAAAGTGCAAGGGGTGGGGGATGGGTCAGAAGGTCTGGCAGCTCTGCCCACGTTCCTCTGTTGAACTTTACTGCTTGGGGGCTGGGGTGCAGCTTGGGGTAGAGGGAGCGCTTGCTTTCCAGGGCCAAGGCCCTGGGCTCAGTTCCCAGCACCACAGAAAACAAAAGCAAAAAATACCTTAAAACAGAAAAAAAAAATGACTTTTTGTCTGACTATAACAGCCAGCATTATTTGTTGTTTTCTGAAAGTCGCTGTTTAATTCCTTGCTGTCAGGGCTACCTGACAGGCCCTCAGACCCATCCCATCGATCCTTCCAGGAAAACCCAAATTAGAAATCTCCAAATCAGAAGTTTCTCAGCACTTGGACATTAACTAGAAAGGTACTGGTGTTTGGCTAAAGTTTTTATTAAATTATGTTTATAATTTGCAAATGGTCCATAAAAATTTGAAAGCAAAATTGTCAACATTTTCAGTAAAAAAGTATGGCATTCACAGCAAAATTACATTTTCTGAGACACTTTTTTTTCTGACATGTGGTCTGAAAGCCGTATAATATGTTCTCCGACTGGGAGATGCAATACTATATTTTAAGGAGCAGTCTCTCAAGGCTCATTTGGTTATTTATCAAAATCGGTTCATCACTGGGACCGTCAGCAGCTCACCCGGCGCCTACGCTTCTCTGGCACCATTAGTGTCCCTCCCGCTGGAGGTGACAGCTGGTGTCTCAGCCCTGAGTGTCCTCCCTGTCATGGCCCCTGCCTCTGCAGCAGTCAGCTCCTACTCCTGGGCCCTACAGACACAGAAGGACAGAGGCCCTTCTGTCACTGTGCATCCTCTGGCCACCCCCGCTGAGAGCTCCCGGCCCCTGTCCCACACAGTGGCCACCAGAGCCCCCAGGTCTACATCTGCCAGCGCAATTCCTGCGTTAAAACCCTAAGGTGACGCTCTCAGGAAGGAGTGGGCCTGGGAGGTCACTGGGTCCACTCATGAGTGGCTTGGTACCTTTAGGAGCTCAGCCATCCCCTCCACCAAGCGAGGGCACACGTGTGTGCCCACACAATGCACACACACATACACATACCACACCCTGCAGAGACACACGCACACAGACAGACAGACAGACAGACAGACAGACAGACAGACAGACAGAGAGACACACATACACACACCCTGCAGACACCACCTATGAGACAGGAAGCAGCCTCTTAGCGGACACAGAATCTGTCGGTGCCTTAAGTTTGGACCTCCCGCCCTTCAGAACCATGAGCAAGAGATTTTTTTTTTTTTTTTTTTTTTTGTATCAGGAATCGAACTCAGGACATTGTACTTGCCAGGCTGGCGCTTATGCCACTGAGTTACGTCCCCGGCTCCCTGGCCCAGGATTCCCTATTCTTTGGAGTCCACCCCATTTGCAGCAAGTTCCCTCATGAATGTTACGACCTAAAATTCTTTTTAAATAAATGCATTTATTGATACATTTAGTATCTGCTTCTTCCTAAATAGAGACAGTGCTAAGGGTCACTGATGAGTTTCTGGGGCACAGAATAGTGCCTGGGACAAGGCGCATTAATACCGAGTGGGGTTTACACCACAGCAACAAACGTGGCCCCTATCTTCAAAGAGCTGACAGTCTACCTGCAATGGGCAGCCACAGTGTCCAACTAGTTCACAGTAACGGGCCACAGGTAGCACACAGCTGCGATCCGACCTCGGGAGGCCCTGTGGCTTAGAGCTTGTGGAAGCTCCTGCATGCTTGGAGGTCAGGTAGGTTCCCAGAGTAGCGGGGGTGGACCCTGCCTGAACCACGGCAAGGACCCGCGCAGGAGGCGAGGGCTGGGAGGGGTCTCAGCCCAGGAGGTGGCGAGGAGGATGGGATGCTCTGATCGTATTCATAATAATAAAAGCTAGCATTTCCCAAAGACCCCCGAAATACTGTATGGATATTAGCTCACAGAATCCCAGAATTCTTTGTGTGAGGTGTTATCTTGAATCATCTCTGTCTCTGCCCCCACTCCTCTCTCCCTCCCTCCTTCCTCTTTCCCTCCCTGTCTTTCTTCCTCCCTCCTCTTTTCCCTCCCTCCTCCTTCCTTCTTTCGCTCCCTCCCTCCCTCCCTCCCTCCCTCCCTCCCTCTCTCCTTCCCTCCTCCCTGCTTTCTTCTCTCTCCCTCCATTCCTCCCTTCTTCCCTCTTTCTCTCTCTCCTTCCTTCCCTCTCTCCCTCTTTCCCTTCTTCCTCTTTCCCTGCCTGTCTTCCTCCCTTCCTCCCTCCTCCTTTCCCTCCCTCCTTCCTTCCTCCCTGCTTTCTTCTCTCCCTCCCCCTCCTTTCCCTCCCTCCTTTCCTCTTTCCCTCTCTCCCTCCTTCCCTCTCTCTTTTTTCTTTCTTTCTTTCCTTCCTTCCTTCCTTCCTTCCTTCCTTCCTTCCTTCCTTCCTTCCTCCCTCCCTCCCTCCCTCCCTCCTTCCCACCTCGCTGCTCCTGGTTGTACTGGCCAAGCAGCCCTCCTCCACCAGCCCTTTCTAGGCCGCCCTGCCTTGGAGCCAGCCCCCCATGGACCGAGCTATCTGAAGCCATGAGCCAAATAAATCCCTTTTCCTTAAGGTCACTGGGTCAGGTTTTTTGTCCGAGGAATGGGGATGGCTGACACAGCTTGTCAGTCTGTGAGTTTGGGGAAACACATGGTGAGCTGTACCCACACGACAGCGCAGCATGGAGCAGCCAGTGCCCGAAGTCCTGCTGCGCCCTGCCTGCATCCGTCATGCCTCCACTCCTGGAAGCCACTGATCGCTTTGCTGTCACCATAGTTGTGCTTTGATCAGAGCTTACCATTTTACGTTTTTAAGGCATTTGTCCTGCTCCCCAGTACGCACGCAGGGAGCACAGCAGAACGCACTAACCAACAACAGCCTTCAAGCCATCATCCTGGCCAGGGAACCCATTTTGGACTGTGTGTCGAGCTTGTTTAGCTGACTCATGAGGGCTACTTGGCAGGGCCTGCCCTTGGGGAACAGACAGTCCTGCTGGCTTTGGGTTGTCACTGGCGCGGGGCGAGCCCCGACCAGCTCTACCCCAGACCCAGAGGCCGCGGCGCAGGCCTACTCACGGTCAGGCAGACGTTGATGTGTGTGCAGGCCTTCCCGTCGCCGGTGTAGGTGGGCAAACAGTTGCAGACAGCCTGTCCGGGAGCAGAGGCAGAGGGGTCAGGGCCCCCCAGATCCATGGGGATTGACCCCCCCTCCCCCCAGGACTGCTCGTGGCCACCTGATTTTGTAGCACATTTAATAGAAGTCACCTCACACCTGCCTTATCTTTGCTACCAAGATGACTTTCTCATCTTCTTTGGTCCCTCGCCTCCAGGGCCATGACTCTTTTTGACATCCCAGGGCATGGGCGGAAGGAAGCCACGCTCCGTGCCACTCTCCCACCCACTCTCACGAATGATCCGTTCCTGCTCATTGCACCCGCTGAGCCCAACTTCCGGTGCCTCGGGTCTGCTAGAGCCGTTCAAGCATCCCACAGCCCTGAACCCTGAGCCGCTAACCTATTCTTTCCCTCAGGCCTGTGTCTAACCGACTGGAGGTGAGGCCAGCCCACCTGATTGGGTCCCGTGTGTGTGCACTCGGCATTCCTGTCGCAGCCACCGTGGTTCTCCAAACATGGGTTGATTTCTACAAAACAGAGCCAGCAGCCAACAGCCCCAGCATCAGGTCTCCTGTTGTGAGGGCCGCTACCTGACCGGCAGCTGTGGGTGTCATGTGTGATTTAGTTTGCTGGCAGCTCAGAGGCAGAGGAGAGCAGAACAGCTTCTCTGGGACGGGCTAATCCCAGTGGGGTTGGGGTCTGAGGGCTGAGATCTGTCCCTCTGTGGAGCGAACGTGAGCATGGGCAACAGGGGATTTGAACTCAGAGTCTAGTCCACCAGTGCTACGACTGAAAGAACCAAGAGACGAAACCCTAAGTCATGTCCACCAGCATGATCTAGACTGGCCCAGAGAAAAATCAGCAAGAGACGCTAAATTCAAGAGGGCGTTTGGAGAAAGACCAAGAGGGCCTTGACAAGAAGTATTTTGGCTGTTAACGTGTCTCTCCATCAATTGCTTTTAGTAGCAAAGGGGAAAAATAACTGCACAGAGGAAAATCCAGACAGCAGCACTTTGACAGAGTGGTCAGCATTCACATCCCAAGCGAGAGGCGGATGGAAATCTTGGGAGTCCTGTGCTCACCCGAGAAGGGTGTGGTGTCACTTGGGCGACGTTTGGGCTGGCAAGGCACAAAGTGAATCTGGTCATGGAAAAGCCTAAGAAGAATCCCCATAAAGGATGTGCTGTCAAAGGACAAAAGACTGGCATGACGCATGATACTCTCTCAAATGCCAGTGTCATGAAAGATGAAGCAAGCAGAGGGGCTCTGGCCCTGGACTGGGCCAGCACTGCAGAGAACAGTGTCCAAAAGGATGCTGAGGTGCAACCAACAAAATCAGGACACCAGGGGACCTTAGACAAAGGTGTGATCTCAGTGAGAGGTGACTGGCGTGGCTCACTGTGCTTGGGTCAGGTCAGAGACATCCCTTGTTCCCGGGAAACACCCTCCATTATTAGAGACCAGGGTGACACAATACGTGTGTAGCTCTCGCAAATGCTAAGTAAAGAGTGTGCACTCAGAGGAGGACATGCTAAAGCGAGTGTGCAGAAGGTGGATCAGCGAGGGCAGACAGCGAGGAAGTGGCCTTACTGTGCTCCTCCTGCTGCTGCGCTTCATACATTTGTATTTTCCAGGTGAAAAGCTAAAATTCCTACAACTTACTACGGCACGGCTTTCCAGCAGAACGCCGTGCAGCTCTTAAAATAATGAGGCGGCAGGATCCTTATTTTTCCAGAGAAAGTAACATGTTATGCTGCCAAGCACAGGGAACAGAGTGTGTCGCGAGACACTGTTTTTGTTTAAAATGTACCTATGTACATGGCAAAGTGAGGTCACATAAAGATAGTTTTGCTCAAAGTTTTTACCCCAGTGTGTTGTGTCTTCTGTGATTTTTTTGCAACAAGAATGTGCTTATTGGACACATACACACACAAAAAGAACTAATGAAAGTTTAAAAATACAATCACCATTATATATATATACATATATATATATATATGTATATATATATTTTTTTTCCCCCCTTTGTTCTTCTTCTTTCTTTTTTTAAATTTTCTTGCAGACCTGGGGATTGAACTCAGGCCCTTGCACTTGCCAGGGAAGCGCTTATTCTACTGAGCCATCTCCCTGGCCCCTACCACCATTATAATTTTTAATTGGACAAATCTCCCTGGTTCTCTTTCCAATGTGATTTTTGGGTGTGGTGTACCTTCTCAGCCCTGCAGTCTCATCATCTTAAGATACCCTGAGTGTCCCAGCACTAGGGGCCCACACACGGGTCCGCCTCCCCAGGGGGCGAGGGGTGGTCCCCTACCGAGGCACACGATGCCATCGCCGGTGTAGCCCGCCTTGCATACGCACACCCGGCTCCCTGGGGTGGTTCTTTTACAGTCTGCCTTGGACGAGCATCCTCCGTTGCGGGTCTCACAGGCGTTGATGGCTATGGTGGGAGAGAAGATGCAGACCGGAAGGGGACACAAAGGGCAGAGGGACCCGTGAATGCCTTTGGGGATCTTGGAGAAGTGGAAGATATGTCCATACCACCTGGCACCTGGTATCCTGGGAGAAGCCCCAGGGGTAAGGGAGGAGCCGGAGAGATCACTGTATAGTCTGGACTAACTCCTGCCACACACAAGATGAATGGTGCAAAGAGTGTGTTCATCTAGCACCACGCTTGGCTCCGTAAGAAGAGGAATTCACGCTTCCTAGCCCCGTGTTCATCAGGTTGTATCCCAAATCCCAGCGAGGGGGCCGCTCCTGTGATCCCCAACTTTCAGATGAAAACAGTGGTGCAGAGAGCATGTGGCACCTTTACCGAGGCCACATACCTTGTAAGAACTCCAGCCCGGGACTCTAAGAAAGGCTGGGGGCTCACAGCTGCTCGCTTCTGCCACTGGCTGTGCAGAGGCCGCGGAACCTCAGCAAAGCGAGGAAGATGGTTTTGTCCGCTGACAAATGACCTAACAGGGCTCTGAACAGTTAGAGGCTCCACACAAGGCAACAGGGTCAGTAGGAGGAAGGCACAGAGCTTAATCCTTTTTCTGAACTGGCCACAGGCTTGAGCAGTCGACCCCTTAGCCTTGCCTTGGGAGGTATTGTCTGGGCTTCACTCTTGGTCAATGAAATCCTGACTGTTAGAGCTGCTGGGCAGTTTCCATTCCTTGGGAGAACAGGAGCCTGCTTGGACTGTGGTCGAACTAACTGCATGTCAGAAGCGGGCGCCGCCTCCCACCCATCCCCAAGCCAGCACATCTGTGCCTGAGCAGGTGGCTTCTGGTCCCAGGCACCACCAGCTGCCCAGTTATGGCTGTGCCAGGGAGGAAGCCCTTTAGCCCCAGCCACACAGATATGCCAGTGTCCATGCAAGCCTGGCTGGCCCCGGCGTACTCCTTCACTTGCCTTTGCAGACAGTCCCGTTCCCTTGGAATCCAGCTGCACATCTGCATGAGGCTGTGCCATCCGGCTGGACAAGGCAGCTGCCACGAGAGGGGCAAATGGCGTTGGCTGAAGGTGCTCAACACCCCACTTGCAGCACCTTCCTCCCAGCATCCCGGGATCCACCTCTGCTCTTGACACAGCCCTGTGGCAGGGGCAGACAACAGTGTCTGCACTGGGACAAGGAAACAGCTACCGACCATCACAGAGTGGCCAGTGCGCTGGCAGTGAACGTCACACAAATCCTTGTCACCCACGCACTGTCCCATAGCCCTGGCAGGCGGGGACTCTTCTTTCCCCTTGCAGATGAAGATGCTGAGGCTTGGTGTCATAATGGACTCAAGGTCACGAATCAGTGAAGGACACGGAGGTGACCAGAGCTCGGGTATCACTCCAGCTACTGGGCTCTTCACCAGCTGCCCCCGTCCCCTGGCATGTGGGTCTGGAGGGGCTGGGGGTAGGAGCCAGGAGGGCGTGGCTGCGCTTCTGGACCAAGGGGAACCTGAAGCCTCCAACAGCCTCGGCCTGAGCATCCTGCCTTGGGGGCTGGGAACAATGACTGTCAGTTTTGTCAGCGTGCTGGGGAGGTCAGGGGAGGCCTGCTGAGTCACTGTCATACTTAGATTTATCCTGGATCTCTGAAATGGTGTCAGGAAACCTCTTCCCTGAGGATGGGCCCCGGGTTGGACACTGCTAGGAACCCCTCGCATGGTCCCTAAGGGCACCAGAGGGCACCTACTTGGCGCTGGTGTGGCATGTTCCATTGCAGTTGTCTTCTGTGACAGCTGGAAGAGAAGCAGGTACAAAGTCAGCTCGCACTTGAGCACTTGGGAATCTGCTTTGAGAACTTGGTGCTTGGAAAAGGGTGAATCCCTGGGGAAGAGCTGGCGGCGCACTGGCCGTGTGGACCCACGACGGGGTGGACCTCTCTTCGCGCCCGCTGCCATGGAGCTCAGAGCCAGCCTTCAGGCTCAAATGCGCTCGTGCAGTGTTTCCTGTCGCCCAGGCTCCTTGCTGGGCACTGAGGATGGAGGGCGAGCAAAACACAGAATTCACCTTGAACACAATGGGCTCGAACGTCCCGGTGTTGGTGGGTGTCCTCCCCTAGGTCTTCCTTTTCTACTTTTATTTACGTTTATCCTGTTATTCTTTTTGACTTTATTCATTCTAGTTTTCTGCTGTCTTATTATGGAGAGGCATAAACAAGAAAACTCTTAATTACACTGTAAGTAATATTAAACGCATTTTTTTTTTTTTTTTGGCACGTGTAGCAACAGCCCAGGGCCTGGAACACAACGGGGACACAGTGCACACTTGTTGCATTCATTTCTAAATTTCCTGTAAATTCAGTATAGGTTATTGCCCCTAGATGCCCAGCTAAAAGATATTTCTCATCTGGAAAATATGATATCATTAGAGGTGAGGAAAGAATCCCCTTTGGGCAGAGCGTTTAAGCTGGCAGCAGGCTCCCGAGCCCTGGGTCCTGTCACACAGGTCTGGGTACAGGGCCCTGACCCCCAGAAGGATCTGTTTTGTGTTAGATGGGACATTTATAAGTCCAAGTAGGTTGCAGCAGATGAATGCAAGGGAATGTTGTGCTTCTTATTTGTGTGCTTCCTCGAGCCTCGGAATCCCCTTCTTTCTAGTCTACCTATGGGAATCTCAATCATCTTTTAGGTCCCAGAACCCTCTCTGAACCTGCTTTAAAGCTTTAAAACCAAGTTCCATCAATTGGTAGTGACTCCATGGGGTGTTCTTTGGAGAAAGGTCTGCTTTCTCTTTCTATACAACCACAGAGGGAGGGTGTGCAACAATCGATTGGTGATGTCTGCCATGACTCAGGGTCGGGGAGTACGTAGGTGGACGAAGGTGACTTACTTTTCTAGTCTTTCCTTTGTTCTCATGTACAACTTTTTTCCTGTCTTTACAGCTATTTCCCCTCTTAAACTGGAAACCCCTTGGGAAGCATGTGCACCGGGACAGGGAAAGGAGCTGGACAACTGGGCAGGTGCCAGTGGGTGATGAGCCTGTGCCCCTTGCCACTGAGGCTTTTGCACTTGGTGCCCCTGGAATGCAGACTGCTGTGGGCAGAGGCCACACTGGGCCTCCTGTGATGTCCACGTCACCCAGAGCCAGCGGGAGCTTGCTGGCTATCTGCAGAATGCATGAACGAGCCAACACATCCGGGGCACCTCCACCTGATTGTGTCCAGGCCTGAGTTGTGATCTAGAGCCATTCTGAGCCCCACTCGCTTCCCTTCCCCTGCTTCCCTCAGTCGCTGCCTCACCTGACCCGGCTGCCTGAGTTCACTTGCCCTGCCCTGCCCCCGGCCCTTTAGACGGGCTGGTCCTCTATCACAGCACTTACAAGCGCAGAAGCTGGAGCGCCCTGTTGTGTCGTGTCAGGCATTCCGCAGGGCTGTGTGACCTATCACTCCTGCTCTCTTCCCCCAGGCTCCACATCCGGGCTCTGAGCCCCATCACCGGAAACCTGTCCCGGGATCCCTTAGCCCTTGCGCGTGAGCTTGTCACCCATCTCCTCCTCTGCCTTCCCTCGGCTGCACCATCGCTGCAGCCATGAGTGGCGATGTCCTCAGCCCCGGAGCTGTCGCGGAGCAACAGGCGCCTGGGGGCTCCTTCCTGGTCCTGGCACAGAGGAGGGGCACGTCTGATGCCACCTCCATAGTATCCCTGCCAATCCAGTGCCCCAGGATTCCTCTTGCCCAAAGTTAAGGTCACCGTGCCGTCCTGTTCCTCCCTCCAGGGCTCCCAGAGCCTCCGGGAAGGCCCTGCCTCCCAGCTGATGGATGGGCCTTGCCCTGCCGCCACCCACTCCTCCCCCTGGCTCCTCATCCGCCCCCACCCCCTCTGGCAGCCTCCCCACCCCTGCGCGCTACTCCACGCCCTGGAAATGCTCCTCCGTCTCCCATCCTGAACTTGCACATGGAGATGGGACATGGGGAGAGCCGAGGCCATGGCCTTCTAAGGCCTCAAAGAGGAGGCTCATGGGCAGCGCCGCCGGCGGGCACCTTGGCCACGAGCAGGAAACCTTCCGTCCCTGGAAAAGGAACCACGACGCGACCGCGGAAGGACCCGGGGAGGCCTGCTCACCGCCGCGGGGTTCTTGATGGGAAATGGGTTTCAAAACCTGCAGCTGGGCAGTGGGCGTAGCTCTGGGGTAGCGCGCGTCCCCTGCATGTGCAGAGCCCTGGGCTTTCTCCTTAGCACTACAAAACCATTAGAATTGACGACATTTGTCCCTCCCCAGGGCAAAATGTCCCGTAGCTATTGTGGAGCTTGGCAGCCGGTCATGGAACACGGCACAACCGGTAGGAGGCTGGAAGCGATGCATAAACCCAGTAAGAGCTTTTTCTGGCCTGAGCAGTAAAACAAGTTATTTTTTTCTTTTTCTTTTCTTTGTTTTTACAAACCACTTGCTGCAAGAGGCAATTGTTTATTGTTAGAAAAGCAATAAAAGGGTCTGGGGAGATGGCACAGTGGGGTAAGCACTTCCTTGGCAAGTGCAAGGGCCTGAGTTCAATCCCTGGTTCAGAAAAAAAAAGAAAGAAAAAGAAAAAAGAAAGAAAAGCAGTAAAGGTGCCATTTCTATTTAGAAAGAAAATGTAGTGGCAGAGAAGCAGGCAGACAGCAGGGCAGGAACACGAAGGCTCACGCTTACCTCTGTCGCATTTTACGCCCTGCCAGCCCACGTCACATTCACAGGAGCCGTCACCCGAGGGTCCCTGGCTGCATCTCCCGTGGACACAAGAACACGCTGAGTGGAAAAACGCCCACAAATGGTCAGACCCTGGCAGCGCTGGACACCTCATGCACTGCTTGCTGCGTGCAGTACTGTGTTTTTCCACCTGATTTGGCATGTTTGTCCCTCACCTGCGGGCGTTGGCCTCTCAGGAGGGGTGGGGACACAGGCCTGGGACCAGGTGAGCCTGGTTATGCCTCTGCAGCGCCCCCTACAGCACACTTCTGGAACTGCATGACTCTGTGGCATTTTGTCTGAGAATCCTGAGTTACACCAGCCCCTTGGGAGGGAACCCCGATAGAAGCCTTTTGGTACTGGCTTATGTAAACCTGGTGTTCACTACCTTCTTCAACAACATGGAAGTGTTGATTCCTGTGTTTCACAGCAAGCTCACGAACTTCTCTGAGAACTGGGAAAAGCTATGGAAGCTTTCTTCCCCCAAAACATTCAAACTTGGAGGTGTGAGGGTCGTCCATGGATTTTTGGTTAGGAACTGCAGACCACATGCAAGAGTATCATTCTTCCAAACACATGGGGGAAATCCACACTCACTCCAGTGGTATGCTGTACGGCCCCATTTTAATTACTGCACTACACTTTAATTTGTCTGAGTTAGACCAGCTGATGAGAAAACAGTGATTGCTAAATTTATGAGCTGTGGGAGAAGAACAACGATGGTTGTGGGACAGGAAGTTTCTCCTGCCCCTTACGATCTCCCTCTAATCCCTGGGGCCAGCGAAGTCAGGTGGAAAAAGCAGTGGACTTTGGCTCAAGGCTATTTTTGCAAGAGCAGAGCAGATGGCCAAGGATGGCAAATCAGCAGTGGTCTGTGCATTGGTGGTGGGGACAGCTTGCCCCAGGCGGGAAGGCCCGAACCGGAATCTTGTTCTGCTCTCATCAGCAGTTTTCATTTTTCTGTCCTGGGAGTGAACGCGAGGCCTTCGCACTGAGCTACGTCCTACCTTATTTCATTTTTATTTTATTTAGGACAAGGTGTACAGGGTCTCACTACGTAGATCAGACTCATAGCGATCCTCCTGTTTACAGCCTCTCAAATGCTGGGATTACAGGCATGCGCCACCACACCCAGTCTCAATCTCCATGTCAGCACACCCCAGGGGGCGGGGTCGGCAAGGCAGCCCTGGGGATTGAACTCCTGGCCCCTGAGTCTAAGCAGATGCTTTAATCCGCTGAGCTATTTGGCCGGCCCTCATTTTGTATTTTGAGACAGGATCTTGCCAAGTTGTTAATGTGGCCAAGCTGGGCCTGAATTTGCAATCCTGCTTTGGTCTCCCAGAGTGCTGGGAGTACAGCCTTTTCGGCCTTCATATCTGCACCTGGGAAACAGTCACAGCGATGTCTAATATGTAAGGTTCCTCATCAGAGCGAATGAAGTGATGTGGGCCTCGCTGTTTTCCAACTGTGGAGCAACATCTGCACAGAAAGTTAGCCCTGAAGATTGCTGCACAGCCAGTGAGAGATGCGGTGGGTTGGAAGGCCCGGGTCAGTGACTGAAAATGTTTAGAAACACAGCTCTATGGATATGACACGACTTGGAGGGTCTTAAAATTCACGACAGAGCCAGGCATGGCAGCACACACCGGCACTCTGGGGGGCGGAGGCAGGAAGATTTCAAGTTAGAACTCGGTCTGGGAAATTTATGGATTTAGGGAGAGCCTGTCTTAATTTTTTTTTAGGCAGGGTGTTGCTTTGTACTTCAGGCTGGCCTTGAACTCACTCTGTAGCCCAGGTTGGCCTCAAGCTCACGGTGATCTTCCTGCCTCGGCCTCCTGAATGCTGGGGCTAAAGGCGTGCACGACCGTGCTGAGCTGTCTCAAAATTATAAATAACAATGGACCTAGGATGTCACTCAATGCCCAGCACCCACAGTACTGGTGGGACGCAGCTTCGGGGTGAGGCCTGGAGGGGACCCGGACACCCTGGTGCGCACCTTGGTCGCAGTGGACGCCGTACTTGCCATCCACACAGGTCTCGCAGGCTGTGCCGCTGAAGCTGGGGCCGCACTCGCACCTGCCCGTGCCGTTCATGCCGTCCATGCAGATGCCATTCCCGAAGCACACGTCCCCGCGCTGCCCAGGGCAGGCCTGGCACTGCTCCCCGAAGAAGCCGGCGCAGCAGGCACGTGTCTGCAAGAAAGAGTAGGCTGCAGCGGGCTTGGGCCGGACTGGGCTGCCTGGGTCTGTGCAGGTGTAGGGGTGAGGGAGGGGCTGAACCCCAGGTTCTGGGCACTGAGAGGAAAGAGGCCCTCCCCAGGAAGGCAGAGAAGGGAACAGGCTGGGGAGGGGCTGAGGACTGGAAAAGAAGAGCACAAAAGCAGTGCTGGGAAGGCGGAGCTACTCTTCACCCCCCCCC